AGTTTTGAGGTCGGTCAAAAATGAGGTGTCTACAACAGGGTCAAAAGGCCTCACCATCAACTGCGGTAGCCTGGGCTCAGGCTCTGGAGGGTAGATCTCCTCCATAGTAATATTGGTTGCAATGTCCTCTACCGCTCCATCAGCCTTCCTAATCATCAGCTTCTCGACACCCGCAGTAGGTGAAAGCACTAGCACCTCGGAAGGGGCACCATCATATGAAATATCATCTGCTATGGAGAAAGTGGTGGGTGGTGAGAGACAATAAGGAAAATGAGGGAAATAGGTGAAAAATCCCAAAATCAAACCCTATAAGAGAGAAAAATATAGGCAAAAGTTGAAACTCGGGAAAAAAAACCCGTAACGATGAGCCAAAAATAATGAGAAGCCAAAAAAATCAACCAAATCAAAATCCAATCGGTTCAAAACATAGAGGGCCAAATGGGTTTTACGAAAAAAGTTTGCGTGGGTCGTTGGGTAAAGTGAGTAGAGTGAAAAACTAGAAAGAGAGAGAGAGAGAACACCTAGAGAGAAAGGGAGGTAATTTCAGCTTGGGTGTGTGTGGAAAAATGAGCCAAAACCATGTTTAAATAAGCCATGAGCCAAAAACCCCAAACTGCCTCCAACACTGGCACGGGTGGTCGACCTTACAATCAATCGGCCGGCCGACCCATCTATTGGTCGGCCGACTGACCCTTAAAATGGTCCAGATGTGATTTTTTGCTAAGATCCTATATATTCTGTGCATGGAGGGACTTGTGTTCCTCCTAAACTGGAAAATTGAAGAATTTGGGTTTGTTTTGGCTTCCAAAAATTTTGAGATTGTATTCCGGATGCATCGTCTCGGGTCTCGTCATTTCCCCGAAGTGGGAAGGTGCCCTGATCTTAAGCTTGAGCAAGTTGTGTCATTTTCTAAGCATTTGAAGACTCTGAGCTGTCAGTCAGAGATCTTTATGAGGTATTTTCAAAACCACCACTTTTGTTTATTTTTTCAATTATGTTACATGTTAAGTTGCATGGAGCATTCATTGCATCATATTCCGCATTGATTACCGCAATTATGTTGCATCCATGTGCATCATGCTTTTTGTATCCACCCTTTTCACAAGAGTGTGATTTGGCTTGTAACCCTTCCCCTTTCTGCGAGAAGTGTAGTTTGGCTTGTATCTTTTGTCTCACCTTCTCTCTACGTGAAATTTAGTTTGGCCTCACATATTTCACCCCGTTAAAACCTTCCCTCTCTTCGTATGAAATACAGTGAGATACGCCTATTGGTTACACTAGCCTTCCGTCTTTTCATGTGAAACATGTTAGGATGTTGTTCTTTCCCTGGTTAAAACCTTCCCTCTCCCATATGAAATACGGTGAGATACGCCTACTAGTTACACCACCCTTGTTTCCCTTGGTTAAAACCTTCCCTCTCTTCATATGAAATACGGTGAGATAAGCCTGTTGGTTACACCACCATTCTGTCCTTTCGCGTGAAACGCATTAGGACGTTGCTTCCTCTCGGTTAAAACATTTCCTCTCTCCGTATGAAATATGGTGAGATATGCCTGTTGGTTGCACCGTTTTTCCTCTTTTCACGTGAAACGTGTTTGGAATTGTTGTTTACACACTTCTTTCTGCGTGAGGCACGGTCGGATTTATTATTGATTTAAGCTTGAGACTTGTTTCATTCATATGTTTTCATCGTGTTTATTGCACATTGCATTATCTTGCATGATCATGGATTTCCAAAATAATTGTAAGTCCTGCTTTCAAGTGCACTGTTTGTGCATATCATTTGCATTTTGCCTCTGAACTACACCAGTTTGATTCCTTGCAAAGGGATATTTAGGCAACTTTCGAGTTCAACCAATTGCATTTACATTGTGATTGATTGCCCAAGTTTTACGCCCTTGTCAAATGGGTCGTCTTTGGGCTTTGACATTCGCTCACGCCATTTCATAACCTCGAGCTCTATCAAAAAGGGAAAACTATAGACACCCCATTTTGAATGCCCTTAAGACTTGGGCGATTTGTTCCGACTACTCGATGATGAAATGTTACACTAAGCAATCGTTCAAATCTTCAACAAGAGGAATTCGCTTTTGAGCTTCAAAAACCCTTCAAGCCTAAACTTTACACCCTTTTTTCGATCAAAACCACTTTTCATTTAGCCTAACCACCCAAACAATTGCAGGCCAACAGATGATTGACAGGCCAAATTTGATTGGACAGTCATCCCTCTTTATGGCTGGTCGGCCATGTTTAGCGATAACAGATATTTTAAAGCTGGCAATTGTCCTAATGCTCATGTTTTGCACCAATTGTCCCTATACAGCTATTTCCGACGTAAGAAGATGAAATTCTATAAATAGAAGGCCTGCCCTTTGATTTTGGGGTTGAAAAAAAATCTATCCAAGAGCTTAATGAAATCAAAGCCATCTTCTCTACCCTCTCAATTATAGATACAAGATAGATACACCTTTGGAGCTCAAACTTGAAGCTTCCTACTGAGATTTTGAGCCTACTTTCAGAGACTTTAGAGTGCTTTGAATCAGGTTTGCTTAACCAAGAGCATCTTCTCTTCAAGAGATATAAGTTTTGGCTATCTTCTCCTTTGTTTATACTACTCTTTTCCATTCTTTTTACTTTGTTTATACACTGTTTTGGGCTACTTTTAAAGGTTGAAAATATGTGATTTGAAGTTCCAAAGGTGGAGGGGCTAGCTACCCTTCTTTGGCTTGCTTACTAGGCTTGTTTCCTCCCATTTTTGTTCAAGTTTTCTACACTTTTCAAAATCATTTTTAGCACTATTTTGTACTATTTAGGGGTTGTTTTAAGTGTTTATTTAATTTATGCTTTGAATATTATCCTTGTGTTGTTGTAAGTCCTCATGGATTGGTGTATAGGCCACAGCTTCCAATCCATTTGAGTTGATAGTCTTTTCTTGCACTTTTTTGTAACTTTCATACATGTTCATACCATTGTAATCACCCACTTTCCATTAGCACTCTGCAATCTTCCTCATTTCTTTGTTTATTTTGATAAAGAGCTATATTTAACAAAATATTGTTGTTCAAAGCATAAGAAAGAGACCTTTCATGCTAAATGGTTTAATCTCCTTGGAGGTTCATTATCAGGGCATTACATCTCTCTTATACTAAGCACAACCACTTGTTCAATACCTCTTTTTATCGTCGGTGCGTTACTTCTAAGGGACTAACTAATAGTTTAGACCCTTGGAAATCATAAAGGAAGGTTTTTATTATAGCGTGTTATTGGATTTGGATTTTGGGTCATTATCGCCCTTTTCGGGTTTGACTCTAAATTCATTATCGCTCGTAAATAAGTTTGATTCCTCCTTTGTAATTTCCCTCATAGAAAAGGGCTCGAAAAGCTCATTTCTCAGGTTAAGTCAATGCCTGCTACTCTTTATTGCTTTTAGACTTCGTGGACGTATTCATCACTTTCGGACAAAAAGGAAGAAAAGATAAGAAAATGGAAAGGTAATGTAAAAAGGGGCTAATAAAATTAGAGTAAAAAGAGGTAAAAAAAAAAAAGGTAATAAAATTGGGTTAGGTTCAATCAGACGTTATATTGACCCTATTGTGTCTTGAATCATTACATAATTTTTAATGATGGTTAAAGCAAAACAGAGCAGAATCTAAAGCCAAAACAGAACAATTTTTTTGACTGCAAACAGAAAAGATTCTGGCAGCAAACAGAGAGGTTTTTTGGAGGATGTTCTTGGTTGTGTGTATGGCTTCTCGCGTCCCGTTCAAGTCCTTTAAATTAATAGCTCTAATATTAGTATGTGTAATTGATTAGTTGCTTTACCTTCATTCGGATTTGTAATAGCTAGTTAACTTAGTTAATTCATTTGGTGTTTGTAAATAATTACTTTAATTAGGACATTCATTCAGACCCTCTTGTGCGAGGGCAAATTTGTAACACTTGTAATAATTGTATATCTTCCAACCCCCATTTCTTTCTCCCTTTTATTTATATGCTTATTGTGGTAGCATCATATTTTTCGTTTCATATTATTTCCATGTGTTGTATCCATTTTTGCATGCATTGGGTTCGGTTCATCATTCTAACATTGTTGTCATTTCCTACTTACTTGAATACGTATGTTGCCACAAGATTTGAGTTGATCTGTATGACATGTTAAATAAACCGAACCTAGTAGTTGCATTCACTACAAGAAATTGCATTTTTGGCGACTACTTTTGGCGACGACGTCAATTTTCATAGCCAAAACTATATTTTTTGCAGCACAATGATCAATTTCGTTGGTAAAAGTAGACCTTTACCGGCGCAGTTTACTACCGTCGCTAAAAAAAAAATAAACTTCACTAGGCGCCAAAATTATTGGTCGACTCCAAAATTTCAAAAAATTTAGCTACGAGGCTTATTTTTTAGCAATACAATAAGCGTCGCTAGTAGTGTACTTACTTTTGGCGATGACAAGTTGGCGTGGGCAAAGAGTTAAACATTTAGTGTCAATAACACTAGTCGTCGATAAAAGTTTTGCTGAAATGAGGTGATTTAGTGATTTGTGTTTTTATTATAACTTTTCTAAGAGTTTTAAATATTCTAGTTATTGAATTGTAAAATTAAAGTGATCATCGAATCGGATCACAAAATGAACCCATCAAGCCCAAACACACTCTTAAGTTGAGACGGTTAATTTGAGATAATCTAAACTTTTCCGAAGAATGTGGTTAGATTATCAATTTTAATATGTTTGGTTTTATTTTCAAAAACTTGTTTCAAAATTTTTTTTTCTAAAAAACTATAAAAAAATAAATAAATAATTGGTGAAAAAATAAAAACATACTTATTATTTTTGTATAATTTTATCTTTTAGGAGGTCATAAATAATTTTAAAAATATATTTTTGATTTTTATACTTCTCAAATTAGTTTTAATATTTCTTGTATAATTTTTTTTTTTGTATTTTATTATTATTATTATTATTTTTGTGATCTACCTCTACAATGCAAGTCGATTACCGTCCCTTTCTCACTCACGCCTCTCAAATCATTTCTCACTTATGCTTCTGCCCACTTCTTTGTGGCTTTGTCTCCATCGCCATCATTGCAAGGGTTGCTAGAGCATCACCGCAAGGGTACCCCCGGTTGCTGGAGCATCATCGGTTTGTCTCTCAAGTATGTCCTCTATTTTGCCTCTCTCTCTCTCTCTCTCTCTCTCCCTCTCGATTTCTCTCTCCTTCTCACTATCTCCCTTTTGATTTCCCTTTCTCGCTTTCTCTATCTCTGTTTACATACACACATACACACAAATCATATATATAGAACTTTGATGCTTGATATAATCGATTATACACTGGTAATGTCATCCAAAGATGAATATAAGTCGTTTACATTGATTACTTGACAGTTGCTTGGGGTGAGATGTTATTCAAATTAGGGCAATGTTATTAAATTTGCTGCTGAATTAGGGAAATGCTGAAATTAGGACAATGCTGAATTTCTATATAACTTATTCAATATTATGGAATTTAAAATGGTTTGTTATTGCAAGTTATAGATAAATAAATAAAATAAAATAAAATTTTAATTTGCTCAAAATTATGGGCATATCATTTACCATATGCTGTGAAACAAAATCTAATTTGGTTGGGTAGAATGCAAGAGTTTGTGATTGATTATACGGGATTTTAATCTGATAAGAAGACTTGAGTACTTTGGAATTATGTTCTCTACTTATTTTGTTAGACAAAATGGAAGAGTTTTTATGAAAAAATTACAATTTAAGTTTTATGGGAGAAGATTTGTTATCTATCTTCCTTGGGGCTTTAGTATCTTCTCCATTCAAGGTAATTCCTTTGTTTTTGATCCCTAGGTATTGAAGGGTTGTACGTGATTTTATTTTTATTTTTCATTTTTCTTCTCTGTATGCTTAATAAATGGGTGTTTCCATACCTCCAATTTGGGATAGTTGTTCCCAGAATTTTCTCTCTTTTGAGATTCAGAAATAGCAACCAATTCCATAAATTTTTGTAGTTACTACAAGAACTCTAGGGGTCTCAGGCAATCTGTTAATTAGTTTCTTCTAAACAATATAGTGGTCATAGATTGGAGGTTCAAAACTTGGTCTTTTTTTTTTTTTTTTTGGCCTTGTTTTGGCCTTGTTGGTTGTTTGAATTTATGTTACTAAGAGGCTAAATTTATTACATTGATTCTTTTCTTTCCAAAATTCCTCTCTATTTTTGTAGGTCCACTGTCCGAAGTAAATTATTCAAGGATGTTTGTTGACCAAGGTTGCAGAATGAGATAAGTTTATATTTTTGTAGGTCCACTATCCAAAGTAAATTAGCTAACTGATGGATGTATGCAACCTATTTGATAAAATTCCTACAAGAAAATATATTATCTACTCGTATTTTTGCTGAAGAGCCTCAATTTAAAAATGAGGTATCCACCTACTAGACTTGGCATTTTCTCATGCCCAATTATGTTGATTTACACCCAAAAGTCTTCACAAAGCTGCAAACCCAATTATAGATTGGTTTTGTTGTGTTGAATTGAAACAACAATGGAGGGACTATCTCCAGATCTGAAATGTGTAATCTAAGAGACCCTGAGAGAGAGAGAGAGAGAGAGAGAGAGGATGCTCCCTTAACCTTAAAAGGCTGCTCATTTCTTGATGTGTTTTATTTTTTTATTTATTTTTGTGGACAAAACAATAAGGAAACAGATGCCCCTAGCATTAAAGTTAGGAAAACAATGTGGTACTATAACACATTCGTGCCTATAACAACTCCTTTACTTTCAAAATTCACACATTCATGCCTACAATAGCTCTTTTGCTTTCACTTCATCCGATGTTACTACCGATAAAAATTTACAGTGAAGGAATAGGGGAATCTACACCTTTTTTGTTCAAGGTTAAGCCTATCTTTTTTATCATTCAACCTTATCCTTAGGAATAAACTATCCTACTTGCAACTTTACTTTTTGGACATTGAATATGGGGTTTAGAAAAAATTATGAGTTTTAGTTAACTTAGATCCACACATCATTACCCATGTGATTGCTATTATGGCTTCAACCCCATATTTGGTGTCCTTTAGAAGTTTGAGAACAGTTGCTGACTTGGACACTCATCATATTTTTGTTCGCACTGATCCATCTGTAGCTCCCCGTGCTTATAATGCTCCTAATACTTTTCAAGTTGCTGCAATGGCATGAGGATAATGAGGCTATGGAGTATAGAGAGCGTGATATTATTGTACAGAAACATCATGGTCATTCTAAGAGATTTGGTATGTGTTATTCGTTGATATATAATAATATAATCTTTTTGGAGTTGTGAATTTGTTTTGGTCTTTTTGTTTTGTTTAAATATGGGTCAATGTTGTTTCAGCCATTTATGCTCTTGGTGGTCTCCCGAGCTATGTTTTGTTTGATTGTGTTCTTGGATGTCATCATAAAGTTGAACTTTGCCTATTAGGGTCTCTATTACAAAGAGAAGAGCTGCTTGCTATAAATAACTGTATTAAATTGAAGATGAAATTTGTTTGTCTTTAATAGATTTGAATGTCTTCAATTTATGTGGAATGTATGTCTTTGAATTGAGGCTCATAACTTTGTTTTGTCCTTCATTTTTATTTTTTGGTTTTTTTTTTTTTTTTTTCCTCTTTTTGTTTTTGTTTTTGTTTTTTTTTTTGTTTTGTTTTCTTCTTTTCTTTTCTTTTCTTTTCTTTTTTGTTTTATTTCTAATGCAGGCCTTTGAATTACATTTTCAAAAGCAAACAAGAAAAAAGGGAGGTAGCCATCATGTATGTCATTACTGGAATGTTCATTGAAAGTCTTCATAACAATAATAATAAAGAAAAGAGTGGGGAGTGGTTCTCTTCCCGTCTCTATTAAATCAAAGATCAAATTTGTTTTTGTTTAATTGGTTTGAATGGATTCAAATTATGTGGAAATCAAAAGTGAATCAAATTTCTTTCTTCAATGTAGGTTGTTAAAGTTGGAGATTATGATCTTGCTCAGTGCTAATTGGAAATGAGAAGAGGCTTGTTGACATACATTTGCATATTGTCATTGGTGATGCTATAGTTGCATTAAACACATCATTCTGATTGGAATTGACTAGATTTTATTTATTTTGCGCTTGGTTTAACTTTAGGTGTTGTTGTACATAAAATTAAATTTTGGATTGTAAGAACATGTGGGCTATTGTTGTTATCATAAATAGAATTTATTTATATATATTTGGATGTCAATGAATTAAAGTGTGGATATTGTTTAATAATTTTTTTTATTGAAAAGTAATTTGTTATTTGTGATGGTAATTTTTGCTATCCCAAAAACCAAATTATTATTTTTTTTTATAAAACAATTAGATGTTTTGCCGACGCAATCAAGTTGTCGCCAAAAGTATCATTTTTACCGACGAAAACTTGAGTCGGCAAAAGTGACATATAATCATCTTATTTGAACCACTTTTGCCAATGCAATGGTAAATTGGCGACGATGGTTGAAGGCTTTTTCCCACGAAGATGTTTGTCACTAAAGACATACTTTTGGCGATGCAATGAATTTTTTGTTGGTAAAAACTTTTCTGGACACACTATTGGCAACGGGTTACCGACGAAGCTCTATGGGTCAACAAAGCTCTTTGCCAACGATTTCTGCCTTTTGGCAACAAATTTTGTAGTGTAGCCAAAAATGTTTTTTGTTGTAATGATTTTGTATGTGTTGCATTAATCACTTGCATAGTAGAGCATGCATTTTTCTAATTATTTTCTTCTCTCTGGCTTGCCTTGATTGAGTACTAGGTGAGCATTTTTTGCTTTAGCATATCGCATGTGTGTTTGTGTTGCCATATCAAGCATACTACCATGAGGCTAAGTGCTTATTTGAAATATCTCTTTGAATGCCGACGGATGAAGGCTATTTCGCTTAAGTTGGGATGATTTTGATTAATGTACATATGAGCTTGCTTTTTCAAGCAGAGCACATTATGGACTCGCCTTTTTCCGCGACCCACCTTCCGGAAAGGTTTGAAAAGAAGGCCTCATAGTTCGGACTCTCGCGGTTCTAAATCTAGTCTCACAAGTGCAATGTGAAACTAATAAACACCAAAGAATCCAAATCTGACAAAACTTTTGGAAAATCAATTTTAAATCAAATAATGCCAAAATTGGACTGCTTTGCCAGATACAGAGTTGCCACCTAAATATTTTTGTTTTGGAAAAATTCAGGAAACCCTGACTCGTGCCGATGGCCACGTGTCCGCCATCACCAAAGTTGCCTCGACTCTGGAACTTAGGTACGAGAGGGGAAGGTCATGAAATCAGCACCCCCTGCTCGCCCGATCAAAGATTGGCCTCTACTAACCATGATATGATATTTTATAAACATTATGTGTTCTTATTTCGATTATTAAGCTAGCTTTACTATGCGATGCTCACAAGCAAGTATAGACTAGTTTGCTCAATTTGGAACAATTCAACTCATGTTTGATTGCGAAAAATGATTTGAATTGGCCACCTCCAGTGGGCTTAAAGATGCAGATTTTCCACTCAACAAAGTGGGCTTAAAACGCACATTCGTTGAACTGTTCCAATTCAAACAACAAGCCTTCATCCACAGGCATTCATACAGTTTAGCATTTAAGCACATAGCCTCATGGCAAGCATACTGAAGATGGTAACATGGCAATCACACTTATGCGAGTATGCTAAAGTGTAAAACTCACCAAGTACTCCAAGCCAAAACAAAAACTAGTTAGAAAGATGCATGATCCTAACTATGTTAAGTGTCTAATGCAACACATGCAATATGCAATTAATAGGCTCGGATTCTAATATGGCATATGAATCGATTGAACAACATGCGATTAAACACATATTCAAAGAATTATTGAAACGGCAATGCAGTTATAATGATGCGCCGAGTCTCGGTGCATGCAAAACAAATGAATTGATACAAGCATGCGATATGCTAATTGAAGAATGTCCCTAATCTAACCATCAAAACTGATTAAATAAAAGGGAGAAAGACGTGGGGTTCGAAGACATACACACGCATGCGCACTTGTCACAACATTACGCCCTCACGAAGGAGGGTTCGAATGAATAAGCTAACCAACTAGCTATGCTAATTAAGCTAACTAATTATTACAAACCGAAAACTAATTAACTATTCTAGCTAACCAATTATATAATTACATCACATCTAATTAACTACTTAGCTAATTAATGGATTACAAGTCAACTGCAAGTAAACAAGGTAATCAATTACTTAGCCCCGGGAAGTGAGGGATACATGCATGCTCGATCCTTCACCCAAAAAGCCATTACCTTGCTGCTGTAAGCCTCTGTTTGCACATTTGATTACTAAAAATTCCACCAACTTCCAGAATGCCTCTGCTTCACCTTACCATCATATTGTGCAAAAATCACTAATGGCCGACAAGAGGCACAAGGGGCTAGTCGGCTACCATTGGTAGCCGGTCGGCCACTGCTGGTTCATACTTGCATACTGCAATAGAGAGCAAAACAATGTATTCTCACAAGTTATTTTTACTGTTTAACCTCCTTATCATCATACAAGCTCAAAAGAGAGAAACTCTTGGCCCTCAAACCATCAATCAAGCAATTTCCATGTATGATTGCTAAGGGACCAAGTTTGTACAAGTTCAATAAATGCATAAACAAGACCAAAATGACCACCACCCCATCATGCATGATCAAGTGCAATGGTGACCTAGGAAATGACACATTTCATCACTTTGAGTATGAAATGTTCCATTTTTCTTGTGTTCAAATTAATGTCCGATTTGAACACATGCAATGCAACACAAAGAATGCTTATCTTGCACACTTTTACTTGCCAATTTTGTTTACTCATTTTAATTACCAAACCATTCATTAATCAATTAGTCCATTGGTGAGTGCCTTCTAAAGTGAAAGAACTGTCAACCAAGGGGTGGTTTAGGGCATGAGAGAAGTTTCATGCCGTTGGTAATGAACCCTCAAAGGAGGATTAAACCATTAAGCATTAGCCTCAACCTCAAGCTTAAACAACCCTAAGGTTGAAACAACCCTCAAAACAAATGAAACAGTGAAGAAATGAGAGAGATTACAGAGATTGTATGTGTTGAAATTGAGTGATAAAAGGCACTAAAAACATGCAATCAACTCACACCAATGATGCTTAAAGCCTTAAAACACTTAACTAGTGAAGGAATTAACACTATAACTATGCAAAACAAGACTCAAACAAACTAACCAGCCCAAAATAGAGCTAAAACAGGTTAAAATAGAGTGTAAAACATGCTGGACTCAAGCTAAGTTAGGCTAGAAAAACATGCTAACATGTGAAGCTAACTAGGCATGCAAACAAGACATGAGGAAGAGAGGCTAACCCCTCCAATTTTGGACTCCAAAATGAGTTTTTTTACCACTGAAAAACCTCTGAAATTCAGTGATTAAAAGGCCCAAAAAAGGTGATTTGAAAGTGATGAATAAAGGCACAAAAGCTTAGCAAGCTAGCAAGCAAGAAGGGTGAACCACCCCCAACTGAAAAAAGGACTCAAACCACCACTTTTATTTCACAAAAACAGAGCTTCTTATGGTTCAAAACCAGGCCAAAAGCAATTGAAATAGATGGGAAAACAGATATACTAAACAAGAGAACAAAGCAAGTAAACTACCTCTTGAAGCAAAGAGCAACTCTAGGCACAAATCCAAGCTAAAACCACTTGCTAGAGCTCAAAACAAGTCTAAAAGAACCTCAGCTCAAAGAGAAGTAACTTTGATCAAGGTAGTGTATGTAGAAGTGTAGAGAAAACTAGCTATAAAGCACAAAATTGTAAGAGAGAGAGAGAGAGAGAGAGAGAGGGGGGGAGAATTTTGTTCAAAAACTGGTAACCCCTCAAAATGGCGGAGGAACCCCCATATTTATAGAAAAACACTCCTTGAGCTTAGGAACATCCCGCCATACACGTGTAGGCAGATGCAGCTCAATGTGCTAACAACTGGCACAGCTATCAACAAATATTTGAAAAAAGACATTGGTGGCCGTTGGCCACCACTAGTAGCCGACCGGCCACATCACTGGGCAACAACCATTATCCATGGCTGACAGTCTATGGTGGTGGCCGACAGGTCACCAAAAGTTCCAGACAAGAGACAACAAGGTTTTGGTCCAAAACAAGGCACAAAGCAGATAAGGTTTCAAGGCTCAAAGACAGGGCACTCCACCGAGGACTTCGAGCACTCAAAATGAACACATGCAATCATCATCATTGAGTGCACAAGTGATAACGCCCGAGTCTTGAGGACGGTCAAAAATAGGGTGTCTACACACATATTCAAAACTCTTTTTCAAATAAACATGAAATCAAAGCATTCCAAAGTGGGTGACGCAGTCTATTCTTGTGTGCGGCTCACACAGTAAGTTAGCATAATAATCAGAATATGAACATATACTGTACATAAAAATCACATCATGATTAGTAGAGGTCGATCTTTGATTAGGTGAGTGGGGTGCTCAATTCATGACCTCTCCCTCTCATATCTAAGTTCTTAAGCCGAGACACTTTGGTTATGACGGAGAAGTGGCCTTTGGCACAAGTCACGGGTTTCCTAAATTTTTCAAAAATATTTAGGGTGGCGACTCTAAATCTGGCAATGCAATCCATTTTTGGCATTTCTGATTGTAAATATATTTTCCAACGATTTGCCAGATTTGGACTCTCATTTGTGTTTTTTTGTTTCACATTGTACTTGTAAAACTAGATTCAAAACCACGGGAGTCCGAACTGTAGGGCTATCGTATCTGATGAGACTAAACCCTCCGAGGAGCACGAGAAACAGGCTACACCTACTAGATAATTTCTAAGCAACACCCAGTATCTCTAAGATGAATATTTCCCGATGGCAATCCAACGCCATACAAACTCTATCTCATGATTATCCATCAACATTGTTGCAATAATGAGATTTTAGATCTACTAACACTCATCTAACTATCACGACCCTTTATTTTTATTTATTTTTTGCTACCTTTCTCTTTTTGTCTCCTTCTATCTATTTTGTCGATGGAAAAATTAAAATTTGTAGAGGCAATTGCCAAAGGGTTCAAAACATACTTTTCTCTCATTGAACTCGTGATTCTTCTGCAATTCTACGTCATTGTAGGCCTCTCTTCCGCTATATGAAAATGTCCTACATCCCCTATATTATTTGACCTTTCTAAAG